AGAAATCTATCTTATCCTATAGGAAAGTAAGAGGGGAAGGGGATAAGAGAAGGGAGGGGTGTTAATAGAAAGGAGGAGGGATTAGGGAAGGCGGCAGTCAGAAGCCAAACATTTGAGGAGGGAGAGGGTAAAAGGAGAGAGAGAACAGAATAAAGGGTGGGGGGGAATAGGATGGAGGGCAATACAGTTAGTAATCTTAACTGTGAAAAAAATTTCTGAAGCAAGTTTCTCTAACAAAGGCATCATCTCTCAAAAATGTAGGGAACCAAGTCAAATTTATAGAAATAAAAGCCATTCCCCAATTGATAAATGATCAAAAAATATGAAGTTTTCAAATATTTATAGCAACTCTTTTTGTGGTGGCAAAGAACTGGAAATTGAGGGGATGTCTATCAATTGGGGAACAGCTGAACAAGATGTGATATATAATCATGATGGAATACTATTGTGATTTAAGAAATGATGAACTAGATGCTCTCAGAAAAACCTAGAAAGACTTATACGAATTGATGCAAAGTGAAATGAGCAGAACTAGGAGAAAGTTGTATAAAGTAATACCAAAACTGTATAATTATCAATTGTGAATGACTTAGCTATTCTCATTAATACAATGATCCAAGACAATTCTAAAGAACTTATGATGAAAAATGCTATCCATCCCCAGAGAAGGAACTGATGGAGTCTGAATACAGATCAAAGCATACATTTTTAATTTTCTTTATTTTTCTTGGGTTTTTATTTCGGTCTATGTTTTCTTTTACAACATGACTAATATGTAAATGTTTTACATGACTACACATGTGTAACCTATATCAAATTGCTTGCCTTCTCAATGAGGGGGATGGGGAGGGAGGGAGAGAATTTGGAACTCATTTTTAAAAACAAATGTTGAAGACTATTTTTACATGTAATTGGAAAAAAAGAAAAAACTAAAGAAAAAAAGAAAAAAAAGAAAGAGTGGTGGATCAGTGTAATTGATTAGGCACACAATGACAAATGACCATCGTAATCTAGTGTTTGATAAACCCAAAGATCCATGCTTTTGGGATAAAAACTCAGCATTTGACAAACACTGCTGGGAAAACTAGAAAGCAATTTGGAAGAAACTAGGCATGGACCAACGTATACCGAGATAAAGTCAAAATGGATAAATGATTTAGACATAAAGGGTGATATCATAAGTAAATTACAGTAGCATGGAAAACTACCTGTTAGATCCATGAATAAGGGAAGAGTTTATGACTAAACGAGATAGAGGCCAATTTTGATTATATTAAATTAAAAAGGTTTTGCACAAACAAAACCAGTACAGCCAAAAGGAAAAGGAAAACAAAAAAAAACTGGGGAAAAAAATTTTTTTACAGCAAGTTTCTCTGTACTGATAAAGACCTCATTTCTTAAACGTGTAGGGAACTGAGCTAAATTAATAAAAATAAAAGCCATTCCAAAACAGATAAATGGTCAAAGGATATGAACAGGCAGTTTTCAGAAGAAATCAAAGTTATCAATAGTCATGTGAAAAATACTCTAAATCATTATTGATTAGAGCAATACAAATTAAAACAACTCTGAGATATCACTTCATACCTATCAGATTGGCCAGCATGATAGAAAAAGGAAATGACAAATCTTAGAGGGCATATGGAAAATTTGGGACACTAATGCACTGCTGGAAGAGTTGTGAACGATTCTAACTACTCTGGAGAACAATCTGGATGAAACTATGCCTAAAGGGGTAAAAAAACCCCAACCCTGCATACCCTTTGATCCAGCAATACCACTATTAGGTCTGCATCCCAAAGAGATCAAAGAAAGGGTAAAAGAACCTACTTGTACAAAATTTTTTATATCAGCTCCTTTTGTAACGGCAAAGAACTGGAAACTGAGGGAATGCCCATCAATTGGGGAATGACTGAAGAAGTTATGGTATATGATTGTCACAGAATACAATTGTGTTGTAAGAGCATCTAGGTGGTATGGTGAATAGAGCTCTGACCTTGGAGTCAGGAAGACCTGAGTTCAAATCCAGCCTAAGACACTTGACACTTACTAGCTGTGTGACCCTGGGCAAGTCTCTTAACCCTGACTGCCTCACCAAAAAGCAAAAATGAAACAAACAAACAAAAAAACCAAGCAGGATGATAAAAAGAAAAAACCTGGAAAGACTTACATAAACTGATGCAAAGTGAAGTGAGCAGAAAAAGAACATTGTACACAGTAACAATTCTTTTTTTTAAAGTCAATTGGGGTTAAGTGACTTGCCCAGGGTCACACAGCTAGTAAGTGTCAAGTGTTTGGTCTGAGGCCGAATCCGAACTCAGGTCCTCCTGACTTCAGGGCCAGTGTTCTATGCATTGCACCACCTAGCTGTCCCCACAGTAACAATTCTTACCTAGTCTTAAATCACTGAATGGGTGTTACCTCAGACAAACTTAGACCTAGGAAAGACCTTAGCTTAAAAAGGCCAAGGTCTCCCACTGGATCTGGTGTCATCTCCAGTCATCCTGACCTATCTTGCTACTGAATTCAGATGACCCAGGAGGAGAGAGTGAGGCTGATAACTTTGCACAGCTCTGCCTCACTTAAATCCAATTCACTTGCAAGTGATATCACCCTCTTGATGTCATTGGTCCTTTCTGAGAAAGAAGGACAAACAACAATGAGACCCATTTTGTGCACGCTGAATTTAAGATGCCTACAAGATATCTAACTGGAAATATCCAATAGGTGCCTGGTGGTTCAGAATAGGTTGGACTAGTTCAGAAGTTCTTAACCTGAGGTCCATGAACTTGTTTTTAAAACAGTTTGATAAAAATCATATTTCAATATAATTGGTTTCCTTTGTAATCTTATGTATAGCTTATTTTAGGCATTTTAAAACTATTCTGAATCCACAATCTTTAACAGACTGCTAAAGGCATTCATGATACAAAAAAAAGGTTAAGAACTCCTAGAATGAAGATTGTTCTATGTGAAATTTTGTGAGTTAGGCTTTATCTGCCTTTGTCAAATCTTTTGAAAGAATTCTTCCTTCTCAAAATCAAAGACAAAACAAATTTCAGTTTTCTGTTCTCCCAACATATCTTCTAAAGTGTCAATTTCATTAGGATTTATTAGAATTACTACTATGTACACTTGTCTATACCCTTTCCTAAAACATCAATAGCCCAGGATAGTTCAGGAGTCATGCTGGTAATTAGGACTCTAATGGCCATGGGACTTGGGCTTGTTTGCTCCTGTTGGGGAGTTTTGACCCCTCTATCTCCAGTGTGGAGAAATATCCATGAATCTGACCCTGGAGAGTGTACAGCATTCAACCAACTAACTGTCCAAAGTGCCAGCCACCCAATAAGAATCCTCATGTTTTAAGCTCCATCAGCTATACTGGCTGAAGAATGACTGCTTCTGAGATTCCCACACCATTTACCATGTTACTAATACAGTTCAGGGAGTCATTTAAGGTTATGTACTTTTCAACTGCATGCTTTAAGAGCCCTTAAAAAACACAGATCACGGCCTCAGCAGTATCTGTGTGTCTTTAAAGGCACCTGAAGAAAAAGGCTGTTACTAGCATCAAAAAACTGTTTGATTTATATTCAGTAAAAGGATTTGGGTATAAACATAAATGGCAAACACACTGCTTTCTCTTTCTTCCCTTGTGTGGAGAGCCCTGGCCCCTACCAGCTTGCTCTGAGTTTAAAGGAGTCAGCTTCAAGGCTCTGAAATCTCTTGCTTTTCTCCTCAAGGATCAAAGGAAGACTCCTCAGCCTGGATAATAGGCTAAAAGGCCTAGGCAGCCACAGCACAGCTACAGAAAAAGAAAAATCCCTTTCTGGCTCTTGGCTTTGATGGAAGGAGGCTAGGTATGGTTACCTTGGAGATGATAGGAGAATTATTCATACCACCCTTTCAGGATAAAAGGTCAGAGAGCAGTGTCCCTGGGTCAGGAAGAGGGAGAATAAGGTTGCTTACAGTGGCTGCTAAACTAAAAAGAAGAGGATTATCCTTGGACTCCCTAAAGGTCCCAAGAGTCCACAGGGCAGCCTGGCACCTCTGTCCAGATACTCTGTCTACCTAGAGAGTAAGAAGCCAAAGGAGAAGGGTGAACAGAATGGTGCAGTGGATAGAAAGCTGGACTTGGAGTCAAGAAATCTGGATATAAATCCTGGAGATGTTACTACTGTGTGATCTCGGGCAAATCGCTTTGCCTTTCTGGGCCTCAGCTTCCTTATCTGTAAAATGGGGATAATAACACTTAAACTACTTACTTCTCAGGGTTGTTAAGAAAGAAGGTTTCTTGCAAACTGTGAAGCGACACAAGTGAGTGGTAATTATTATTATATGGGTAGGAAGGATGAAGGCTTACCTCAAGATCAACTGTGCAGGAATGGGCCTGGTTAGCTCAGTTTAGTGTCAGCTCACTAGAGGAATAAAGTTTGGATGCTGATGACAATATCTATTATTTCCTTGGGGCAGGGAACATAAGGGAAGTACAGGGAGGAAGCCTCTCTGAGGGGCCAAGGGAGGACCAAGGCTTCTCATTCTGGGGGGGGGAGTTAGGGGCGCAAAAGAAGGAGGGACCCAAGTCAGCTGTCTTGGTGCTCTCTGCGAAGACCTAGGGGACCTCATCTTCTAAGGGGGTGGGGCCTTTCTTTTAGGGGACCGAGGAGCTTCCTTTTCTGAGGGGACAGGGTGAGACTCTCCTAGGGCCCAGGGGCACCTCTCTGAGGTGACAGAAAGAGCCCCTCTCTCTCCGGGGGGGTAGTTCTTTTCGGGGGGGGGCAGGGGAGTCCTCTTTTTCTCCGTGGGGACAAGGTACTTCTGGAAGGGCAGGGGACCCCTCCTCCTCTCTGTGGGGGGGGACCCCTCTTCCTCAGGGCATCAAGGGAATCTCTCTTCCTCCCTTGAGGGGCAGGGACCTTTTTCTCTTTGCGACCTCTCCTTAGGGGCGTGGGGGGCGAAAGAGGCCTCCCCACTCGGGGATGGCGGGGGGCTCCTACCTCCTCGCTTCGCCCTGTCACGCGCCGCCGGGGGCTCGTCTTCCCGCCCCGAGGGTGCTCCCTCCCGTCCCGTCGGGCTGATGGTTCGGCCGGTTCCCCCCCCCCCCGGCCGCAGTACGGATGGTGCGGTCCCGGGCTCCCCTGGCCCAAGCCTTTCTTTCTCCGTCGGTCCGTCAGTTCTCCCGGCCGGGCCGGCAGACAGTTGAGCGGGCAGAGCTCGAGCAGTCTCCCTCTCCCTGTCTCGTGGTTGGTTGGCCCGGCCCTCTCTCCCGCCCTGCCCCCTTGCGGTTGGTCTGGCCTCTGCAGGCCGGGGTCCAGTCACGCGCCCGGTTTGTCCCAGGAGCGTAGGGGACGGGACTAATCCTAGCCCCACCTTCTGCAGCTCTTTCTGCCTAGAGGAAGCTGTCTCCGCCCCTCACCGCGTGCGAACTCTGCGCGAGGGCGGGTGGGACTTTGCCTGCGGGCGTGAAGTGCCCAGCTGGGGCTCGTGCCTACCCCGCACCTCCACCGAGGGCCTCTTGGTCCTAGAATCTTGAACATGCGCTTAGGCGTATTTCTTTGCGCGAAGAACGTGGGCATTTGAGAGTTTCTTTGCATGAAGTAAGGATGCGCTAAGTGTCTAGCTGCCCTGGATCTCTTTACTAAGTTCTTTAGCAGCAACCCTCTTCACCTCCAACGCCTCTTCCAGACCTGAACTTGGATGTTTATGCGAACGGAAGGTGGCAAACTGCCCCAAGGAAGAAGTGTCAGGAAATGCTCTGTGATCAAGGAAGAGAAAATGCAGGATCTAGGCTTCTCCGTGAAACAGGTATGAATCATTCGTGCCGTCTTTTGTTCATTCGTTCAATAAATATTCAGTGTGCTAGGTATTAAGGATACAAAGTTGGAAAACTTAACGGATCTTTTTACTATCCAATAGGGGAGGTAGACTTACATACGTGCATCTGTAATCCCCGGCCATGGGTGTTACCATGATCCCATGCGTAGGGAGTATTCATGCTTAAATACCTTTGGAAAAGTGGGTGTTCGTGTCAGGCAGAGATCAGCCCTTATTGGTGAACAGGGATGGACTTTCAAATGAGGAGGTGGGCTGAAAGCCTTCTGCTCCTTGTGCTGAGGAATGGTTCAATAATGAGACTCAGCAGCCTTCAGCTATATCTGGAGAAATTGATCCATCTCCACCCAGACCACTTGAAGTTGAATAATGGGGGTGGGAGGGCGAGTTCCCAGGTCGTGAGCCTAATGCTTCTTAGGGCTGGAATTCACCTAGATTAGATTATCTTTACACTTTAATCAGAAGTAACCTCTCCCTTTTGGGTAGGGTCCCACCCAAGGCTGAGGAGGATGTTCCCCGAAGATTATGTGAATCTCATCCGCAGCCCTGTCCTTCAGGGACTGGCTGACTTACAAGGACTGATCCCTGAATGAGGAAATAAAGGGAAAAAAAACCTCAGTCCTAGTTTAATAATTCGTTATTAATAGTAGAAAAATAATCATTTCTCTCAATGGCAAAGTTCCAAAATTTTCCCCAAGTTCTTCCACCACTAAAATAAAGCCTTTAAAAAGTCTCTGACCTCATATTCAGCGTTAGAGGAGGAGCTTAATACAAATGATAAAAAGATAAAAACAATTTAAAAGAGCCTTGAAAAGGTATAATTTAAACAGTGAGGGTAATGCCAGGGACAGTTCCAAGTAGATATGATATAAAAACAATCATAATGACCCAGAGCAACGACAGGAACATTGTAGCACAGATGTAATACAATGACAATACCTCCAACTGCCATCTCTGGTCCCTAGCACAGGTATGGGTCATCTGTATCAAAGCAGCTAATAATGTCTCAGACCTCATGCATGCAACCTGTCCTGGGGCCTGAGTTGACTCTAAGACTCACCACCCTCTCAGTGTTTCCCATGGCACCAGCCAAAACTTCCCTGTCCCTAAGAGCTTCTTCTGGGGATTGATGCCAAATTTTGGCTCCTTTAGAGATCTCTGAGGAGCTACCCTATTCTTAAGATGAAGACTCTGCCTTGCCTTAATGCAGAGGCTCAAGATTACCAACAATTTAGCACAAAGATCCCCCATTTTTCCAAGGGATTCCCCACTTTTCCAATTCACTTACCCCATTATTTTCACCCCCCCAATATCATTAAAAAGCAAAATACCAAAAAAAAAGTAATTCTGCCCTTTGATGCCTCAAACCTTTTCTAAGAACCATCCTAGGGGAAAGAAAACCTACTACTACTACTACTACCACCACCACTACTACCATTTCTTCAAGTTGTATAGGACCTTCTCAGGGGATACAAACCTTGAGGACTCAGTAACTTTACACAGGATGAAATATGGAAATGATGGGGATGGGATCAGAACCCCTAAAAGGAAAAGACCATGCCTTTAGGATCTGGACCCCAAAAAAGAAAATCCCTGGATTTTCCCCAAATCTGAGGCTATAATCCACTCAACTGGCCTTTCATTGTGACTAAACCCAATCTCCCAATTCTGTTCTGTTACCTCCCATTGTCCCTGGCCACTTCCCACCCTTAATCCTGTTTAGACTCCATTCTCCCTTGGCCACGTGGTCCAGGTCCCTGGCATTCTGTTCATCCCAGCTTACTAGCCACTCCCATCCAGATCCTCCTTAGACCCCTCCTGCAGTCACCCCAGACTACTTGGCCACTCCTGGATCCCTCACAGTCTTTCTGTAATATAAGGTCCATCTTGTCTCCCTTAAGGCGTTCAAATTCTTATAATCTATATAATCTTATAATCTAGCCAGAGCTCAGATTCTTAACATTACTTGTGTTAGCAATACAAATGCTTAGATTCCTTAAGAGTCTGGCCAGTGTGGTGGATGTTCTAATAAACCTTGTCTCTGGCTGAAAGGCTTGGGTCTAATTCATTTGGGCAGGACCTGTGTGTTGTGATTTTGGGATACCAGCACCCCTGAACTTCAAAACCGCAACAGAAAAGACCAGAGAGGGTTAACTAGGAAGATGGCCAAAGGCAGTTCATCATTATTAGGCACTAATTGCAAACAACTGTATGTGGAAGGAGGCATCAGGGAAAGCCCTTCATTGATCCACCAAAATGAAGAGCCTTTAATTGTCCAGTTCACTTTGCTGCAGGCCCCAGATCACTCAGGACTATGGCCACCGAACAGGAATTGGTATAAATAAAAAAATCTTATTTACCCTATTGCTGAATAGGGTGTCAGCCATACAGCTGGCAGCTAGGCCCACTGGGATAACTTGCCAGGACCCCCATCCCTCAAGGTTTCTATCCCCCATTGCTGGATTAATAACTACCAAGGTGGATATGCCTCTCTCATAAATGGCAGGGCTATTGGTGAAAAAACATTCCTGGAGAGCCGAGTCTTCATTGACAGGGTTCCATTGGTTAAGAAGAGAAAGCAAAGCCTTGGTGTTGGGACGGAGCCTCCAAAGAAGACATAACCCATTAATAAAGGGCAGTGTAAAGAAGGTGGATTTTTGTTATTCTTACAGTTGAATTCCCAGGCTCCGTGGCCATATCAGTCTTTAGTTTCCAAGTCCTAGATAATATTTCTCATGGTCATGGTTTGTAAACATCTCCACCACACTTGCACGGTGAGATATAGGGATGACATAACGTATGCCTACACTGTGCTAGATCATGACGATATTGCTAAAGTTAACCTGTGAGTTTAATGTTGGCAATATGCCTTCTTTGTCTGTTGCCCTGTAAATCAGGGGCACTGGTCAGTGAGTGGGGAACCCATTTTGGGATTTGGGTAATGCATAGAGGCATGTACCTGCCTCAACTGGCCCCCATTGAGGCTTGGGGGGATTTAGGGGAGGGCACAAGCTGAAATGCTTGCATGCATTGATCAGCTCCCATCAAGATGCAGGGGTAGTTGCCCCACCTTCTCACCTGCCCTACAGGCTCATAAAGACGCAGGAGGATAAACTGCTAGATGGACTACTTTAAATCTACTAAGGCTATAGCCTATTCCAGACCCTACCCTTTAGTGATTCTGTAAATGGGGGCCGTCAGGATACCCAGGTAGCCAATATGGACTCTCCAGAATCCAATAAGTCTCTGAGCTTCCTTTTTAGACTGTGAGGGGGAGTGTGTCTGTAGTTTATTATGGACTACATCCAGGATCATCAATACAGAAGTGGGCTCTAAGGAAGAAGGAACTCTTTCAGATCTCTGCCTGCACAACTGGCAATATGAAAGACAATTCAAGTAACCGTGAGGAAGGACAGTGAATGTGTGCTGAACTTCTTCCCAGGTAAAAGCAAACTGCTTCTGACTGCTCTCATCCACAGGAACAGAGAAAAAGTAATTTGCAAGATCAGTAACCTACTCAAAAGGGGCCTGAGCTATTTGGTCTATTACATGGATAGGGTCAGGATTAGCCACAGCAACTGACATGACAGTTTTATTCCACTCCCATGGATTGGCTGGAAGTTACCCAGTACCATCTACCTACAGGACTGCTATAAAAGAAGTGTGTATAGAAAAGTACTCCACCCTCCTTCTTTCCCTTTATTAGAGAGGAAGTATCTTTCATCGAACACCAGGACGTGATATTGTTTAATTATCAGACAACTGCAAGGGCTTCCATTTAGCCCTCCTCATAATAACCACCACAGGAGCTACCAAAAGTACCTATACAGGTATTGACTCCTAAGAACTCATAATATTTATGCCCGTAATACACTTCCCCCAATTAACTACCACAACCCCAAACAAAGGATCTTTCACCCACCTTTAAAAAAAATTTTGTTTTAATCAGCCAAGATCTTCTTTTTAACCCTACCTCCGGGTGAGAACACAAGAAAAATGAAACCCATTACAACATAAGTATAGTCAAAGCAAAATTCCACATTGGCCACGCAGGGGGGGAAATTGTCTTATTCTTCATTCTAAGTATTTCATCTCTCTATAAAGTGGTGAGTAGCATGTTTTATCTTGGTTGATTGTTATGCTGATAAGAGTTCAGCACAATAGTCTTCCATCGCATTTAGAGACCATGATTGCTTTAGCCATTCCTCAATTTATTGGCATCCCTTAAATTTCCATTCTTTCCCACCTCAAAAAAGAGCTACATTTTTGTACATCCTTAGAATCTGTTTTGCTTAAGGCTAGTCTTTCTTAATCTGTACTCTTTTTCATTACCTTTTACCCTTTCTCTTCTTTCCCTCCCATTTCCCTGTTGAGTGAAATGTATTTCTGTACCCAACTTTGTGTGTTACATGTGTGTGTATGTGTGTGTGTGTGTGTGTATTCCTCCTTCTTTTGACCAGTTCAGATAAGTGAGGTTCAAGTGTCAGCCTTTCCCTCTCCCCTACTCATTGTTTATATAGATATCTACTTTTGCTCCCTGATTGAGATAATTTTCCTTACCATTTCTCCCTCCCCACCCTATGTATTCCTTCCTTCCTCTTTCCATTTTTTCCTTAATATCATTGAGCTATAACGACTACTCCTGGCCCTTGTCTAAGTAGACTCTTTCTTTGACCCTTGTTGATGATGGGGTTTAGAGGGAACATGTGTATCATCACCCCATATTTGAACATAAACAGTTCATACTTGTTTAGTCCTTTATATTGTCCATTCCTGCCTACCCTTTTATGTTTCAATTTACTCCTGTGTTTGAACTTCAATGTTTCTGTGCAGCTGTGGTCTTTTTTTTTTTTTAATCAGGAAGGCTTGGAAGTTCTGTTACATTAAAGGTCAGTTTTTTCCTTTGTAGGATTGTACTCATGTTGGGTAAGTTATTCTGTGTAAGCCCACACTCTCTTTGCCTTCTAGAACATTTTATTCCAAGTTATCTTCTTTATAGTTGTGGTTGCTATATCATGTATGATCCTGACTCTGGCTCCTTGAATCCTTTCTTGCTGCTTGGAGCATTTTTTCCTTCAACCTGAAAACTTGAGATTTTGGCTGTGATGTTCCTGGGAGTTTTCCTTTTGGGGTTTCTTTCAGGAATTGACCAATAAATTCTTTCTATTTCCACTTTGCCTTTTAGTTCTAAAAGATCTGGGTAGTTTCCCTTTAAGATTTCTTGAAATAATGATGTCTAGGCTCTTTTTTTAGTCAAAGCATTTAGATAGTTCAGTGGATCTTCACCGTGACCTCCAATCTCTTGGCCCCTCAGTTCTTTGCTAGATTATCACCCTTATACTGGATATTCTCCTTCCCTTCCCTGTGCTGACCTCTAGGTGAACTAGTTCACCTCTTACACTATTGATTTTCCTTGAGTCCTTTGACCCCCTCATCCTATTACTGATCTTGCCCTGCCAAGTGTGAGCCTTGGGTTATTTCCATCATCTACTTCCTTTGCACTACTACATGCTGCTGAATGAGCTAGAGCAAATGATTAAACTGTGTTGAGTAGGTCTACTATAAATTTATGTTATATAATCTCAATTGGGTTTTCAATATGGCAAGGCAATCCTTTTATACCTCCCTAATCAGTTCACTATCCTACTCACCGTAGCAGCCTTTCCAAACGTTTTCATCCTTTCTCAAACCTCTTCATCCTTTCTCAAACCTCTCATGGCTTCTCCTCCCCCCACCCTCTCTGCTGAGAACCTTACCCCATATTTCACTGAAAAAATTGAAGCCATTTGCCAAGAGCTCCCTCTTATCTCCTCCTCATCTCATATTTATGGCAGCTCTTTAAAAAATTTTTTTTTCCTTAGGCAATCGGGGTCAAATGACTTGCCCAGGGTCACACAGCTAGTAAGTGTCATGTATCTGAGGTCGGATTATGGCAGCTCTTTTTGTGGTGGCAAAGAATTGGAAATTGAGAGGATGCCCATCAATTGGGGAATGACCGAACAAGTTGTGGCATATGATTCTGAGGGAGTACTCTTGTGCTGTAAGAAATGATGAAGGGGATAGTTTACAAAAAATAGGGAAGACTTACATGAGCTTATGCAAAGCAAAGTGACAAGAACTAAGAGAATATTATACACAGTGACAGCAATATTTTAATGATAATCAACTCTCAAAGATTTAGTTACTCTAATCAATAAATGATTCCAAAGAACTCGTGATGAAAAATATTATCCACCTCTAGAGAGAGAACTGATGGACTCTGAGTGTGGGCTGAAGGATATATATATATATTTTTTACTTTCCTTTTCTTGCTTTTTTTGCAACATGGCTAATGTGTATTTATGTTTTCATGACTTCATATGTATAATGGGTAATGTATTTTTTTGTCTTCTCAATAGATGCAGGAGGAAGAAGAGGAAGAGAATTTGAAACTGAAAATTTAAAAAAAAATTAACCCACCAAAAAAACCCAGCTGGAGCCATTACATTTAGATTATGAATTCAGAGTCCTTTTTGTGCTTATAGAAGAAGTAGAAAAGGTACCAAAGAAAACAAAGAAAAGAAAAAGAGCTGGGCAAGATCAAGTGTACACAGAGGAAGTCTGTACTGGTGGTGACACATTTGTCTCCCAAGCCGTGTCCCAGAATAGATTCTCAAGGTATTTTAAGGAGAAGATACCAGAGGGCCAGAAAAAAAATCTCACACCTTATTGCCAAAAAAAGGCAACCAAGAAAAGATCAATTAATAATTTGCCCATATGCCTACTTTTCCATCTAAATAATACTTTTAGGAGAATAATCTCCATATGCACTGAGGACATCCTTGATTGAGGTGTTAGAAGCAAATAGGCTTTCACAATTGACATTCCACAGTTGACTACAACTTTACCATTAGGTAAATGACTGAAAGATGTAGAAAATACAAGATCCCACTGTACTTGTTTGGTGACTGTAAATAAACATTTGGTTCAGTAGCACAAAACACTGTAAATGCTCTACAACAACAAGGTATCTACCACGCAACTGGCAACATTATACAAAATTCTTTAAAAGCTGTAACAACAGAGGTAACTTTGTTTGATTCTTTCATCATTACTATCAAGTGAGGGAGAAAACGGGGAGATGTATGTTTGCTTAGCTGTTTGCTGGATCCAGCACAGAAGGATCCAGTCTCAGGAATTCCTATAGAGAATGAGGTTCTTGAGATGTTTCTATCTGGGAGTCAGGTCAATATTAAATGCATACCACGTATCAGGTACTATGCTAGATGCTAGGGCTACAAAGATAAAGACAAAACAGTTGCTTCCATCATAACATTTTGATGATTTCTTCAAACTTAGGCAAGGGCCTCTTAAATGTGATCCATAAAAGCTCAAAAAGAGTGCAGCCTAACTATCCACATTGAAGTTATATGGATAACCTAGAGAACAGAACTGAAGAGGAAGAAGTGTGCTGGATTGCTTTTGGGAAATTTCAAAATTATTTGTTTAAATTTTTATTGGCTCTTGTTTTAAAATCACTTTCACGTCTTAATATATCTTTCCCCTCCTTCTATGGAGCCATTCATTATAACAAAGAATAAAAAATGTTAAAGTTTAGCAAAACTAACCAACACTAAGTCCAACATTATATTCCTCACCTATAATCCCCAACTTCCATAAAGAAGTGAAAAAAGTTACAGTCTTATACAGTCTTATACTTCTGGTGACCAAGCTTGGTCATTATAATTTCACAGCATTCATTTCTTGTTTTGCTTTGTTGTTGTTTCCATTTTCATTGTTGTTTTCGTTTTGTACATTATTTTTCCTGATTATTACGAACTTTATTTTGTATCAGTTCATATAAATCTTCCTACTTTTTTTAGTGGCCCCAAGCCTCTCTGAAACCAAAGATCATCTTAAAATAACATGCGATGATATTTTCATATTATTATGAGTTGTGAAACACTATAGCCAATGAAGAATTTAAATTGTGGAACACCTAAATAGCAATATAGAATTGCCATGGTGGGAATGAGCAGACTATAATACCTTATAAATCAGGAATTCTAAAAGAATTGTGTGAGGAATGTCATTTTAAAAAGTATGACTGAAAATGATAGGTTGGTTTTGTGGACCACTGTATAGTTAGTCCATTGAGTGAATACATTAATAAGTATATTTAGCACAGACACTGCACATGGACAGTGACCTGGGCCCATAATTGAATCAAAGGAAGAAAGCAGAGTAAGATGTATTTCAAGACTGCATAGTATTCTTAATGATCTCAAGCTGCTCCCTGACACCCAAAACAAAACCAAACCCCACATTTTTAAAATTCCACATTCTCTTGGTAATGTCATATATGGTTATGATTTTGGAACACCATAATTTCTAAGGAATCCAAGTTGCAATACTCTAAAAGACAATGTAGAGATGAATGGTTGATGGCAGTAAGCGGCAGCACATTTGAAATAATACTTTTCATATTAGAATTGGTATAAGAGACTTTTTGTTTTGGTCTAAACATGCAATTCATCAGTAGAGGGAACTCCAAGTGAGAACTTCCCTTTATAAATGCAGGTAGGCTAGTATTATGAAATATATCATTTTATAGTCACCTACAGCACTGGGAAATTAAGTGATTTACTTTGTGTCATATAGCCAATAGTATATGTCAGAGATGGGATTTAAACCTAGGTCTTTCTGACTGCCAGGTTGGCTCTCTTGTCTACTACATCATGCTGCCTTTTGGCATAAGGGAGTAATTTATAAAATGTATGATTGGAAATGGAAGTGAGCCAAACATAGATTGCAGGAATTGGATTCAGGAAGACAATGTCCAAATCTTATCTCAGACAAATCACTTATAACCTTTATATTAATGTTACCTATTACTAGTGTTGTTGCTGTTGTCATTATTATGATTGTAGGATATTAGATGGACAGCCTTAATACTGGACTGGTACCCACTGTTAATGAAGGAGGATGGGATTAGCAGCCAGTAGATCTGGGTTCTAATTCTAGGTTCCACTTGCTACTAAATCACTGTATAACCCTGACAGAATCTCTTTACTTCTATGGTCCTCAGTTTCTTCCTCTCTAAAATGATCTTTAAGGTACTTTCCTATTCAAACATTCTCTGACTCTAGACCTAGTCAATAAACTAGAGATAAGAGTTTTAAAATATGGACTGGATGGTATTTGCTGGTTGCAAATTTATGACCTGTTATTAAAAATAGTGAAGAAGCTGAGTGAGTTGCTGCTGTTCCAGAGGAGGCCCTAAGAGTTACAAAGCTAAAGGCCTCCCTCCAAGTGGGATGACCTAATTATCTCTATAATAACCTTAGGTTATTATAAGGTTAGGACAAATCAAAGGCTGTCTTACTCTCATCCATGGGTAAACTTATGGAACTCATTATCTAAGAGAAGGTACAGGCTAGAAATAAAAACTGATTCAAAAGAAGCTTAAATAAATTACTGGATGAAAGTGTTTGGTGCCATTAATTAAGGCTTAGGTCTAAAGAGCAAGGGATTACTGCTGCTTTCTTTAGCAACTCATTTTGGCAAATTGTTTCACTATGGTGCCATGCTGCCTGTGATTTGCTTCTCAGGTGCCTCCTGCTGGATTCTTACTACTGTAATTTCCCCTAGGTCTCACAGAATCAGAGAATTTGAGATTTGGAAGAAATCTCAGCAGCCAGCTAGCTCAACCTATACACAAAAGGAATCTCCACTACAGCATATGTGTCATCCAGACTCTATTTGAAGACCTCCAAGGAGGGTGAACCCACTACCTCTTGAGGCAGTGCATTCTACTTTTGGACAACTCTAAATGTTAGGAAATTTTTCTTGACATCATACCTAAATTTGCGTCTTTGAGGTTTCCACATAGTTCTGCCCTCTGGGGTCATTCAGAACGAATCTAATCCTTACTCCTCCATATAACAGCCTTTTCTATACTCAAAGAAAGTTATCATATCCCTCCGGAGTCTAGTCCTCTTTTTTAAGTCTCAACATGCCTAAGCATTTTAATTAATCAATGTATGTTATGGACTTAAGGCCCTTCACCATGCTGATTGCTCTCTGGACACTCTCCAGCTTATCAACATCCTTCTTAAATAATGGTACCTAGAACACAAAACAGTATTCCAGATGAGGTCTAATGAGGGCAGAGCATAATGGACCTAGTCTTGTCCTTTACTGTAGCCCAGGATTGTATTATCTTTTTTGGCTGGGTCCACTAAAATCTCCAGATCTTTTTCAGAACTGCTATCAATGCCTCTCCCATTTTATACTTGTGAATTCCATTTGGGGTGGGGTGGGATATCCAAGTGTAAAACTTCACACTTACTCCTATTGAATTTCATCTTATTAGACTCAGTCCAATGTCATGATGCTTTTGGATCCTGAATCTGGCATCTATTAGCTCTCCCTTCCAGCTCTGTGTCATTTTCAAGATTGCATATCATCTATGCCTCTATACAAGTCAGTGATAAATGTGTTAAAAGCAAAGGACCAAACACAGATCCCCGGGGCTCTATAATGGACATCTGTCATTGTTGGCACTGAGCTATTAATAAATACTTTTTGAATACAGGTTGCAGATTTCTTATAGGGCATTAGGTCTGTTCTTTTAAAAGCTCTTTAATCTCTTATCCAGTCTTGGCATTGATGGTAATTCAATTCGAGTTCTCCTGGCCATCCAGGATGCTTAGACCTTTGGAATATAACTCTCCAGCCCATAATTAAGGGTCTGGAAGTCTTAGGCTTAGGATAGTAATTTCCCCCTGTGATTGCCCAGCTCAGTCATTCAGTTCAATCCAATCCAATTCAATTCAATTCAGCCAGCTTTTATTAGGTTCTTTCAGTGTGAAAGGCACTCTGCTAGGTGCTGGAAATACAAAGTTATGTATATGATTGACATAGATCCTGTTCTCAAAGAGCTTACAATCTCATGGTGGAGTGGGGTGGGCTGTTTGGTGCAAATACACAAATAACTATCATACGAGGGAGAGTGAGATAAGTACAAAGAAGAGGTCTGGGCAAAATATAAATTTGAGGAGGGTGAAAACATTTTCACCTTGGGATATGCAGAGAATACTTCATAGAGAATGCTTCATAGACATGTAGCATCTGAGTTGGGCCTTCTAGGAAGGGGAGGATTCCAGCAGATGAAATTGAGGGAAAGGTCAGTCCAGATATGAGGTGTGGGGTGAACAAGTAGATGGAGATGGGAGAGATAGTAGTCCAGGTAAGTTAGAATGCAAATATGTGTGAAGGGGAGTAATATGAGATAAGCCTGGTCAGATAGGATGGAAAAATATACATGGCCTCATGTGCCAAGGTCAGGAATTTATATTTTATTTAATATGCAATGGGGAACTGCTAAAGGTTTTTGAGCAGAAGAGTGACATGATCATAGTAATGAATTCAAAAGATTATTTAGGCAGGAATATGAAGGATGGAAAAGTGATAGATTGAGGGCAGGAAGACCAATTAGGAGGCTATCACATTTTTCTAGGTGACAAGAGGTAAGAGCTAAGCTAGGTTATTTCCAGTGGAAATAGAGAGGAGAGACTAAAGTATCTGGATTTAGTTCCCGATTGCATGTTTGATAAGGGCAGCTAGGATACACAATGGATAGAGTGCAGGGTCTGGAGTGAAGAAGAATCTTTCTGAGTTCAAATCTGGCCTCAGACACTTATTAGCTATGTGATCCCTGGCAAGTCACTTAACCTTGTTTGCCTCAGTTTCTTCCTCTCTCAAATAAGCTAGAGACAGAAATGGCAAACTACTGCAGTATCTTTGCCAAGAAAACCCTCAAAAGGGGTCACAAAGAATTGGATTTGAGTGAAAAACAACTAAACAACAAAAATGTTTGATAACTTTATGAACCTAGAAAATTGCAAATATGGTGGTGCCATTAACAGAAATGGAGAAGGAGAAGGGTTGTATTTGGGCAGAATATGATGTCTTCAGTTTTAGAAATAGTGAGTTTGAGATGCCATCAAGACATTCAGGAGGAAATATCCTTTACATAGCTGGAAACAGAAGGTTCTGAGAACAGTTTGAGGCTCACGATAAAGATTTGAGAGTCATTTGCATAAAATGATGATTAAATTGAAGGGAGTATATGAGATCACCAAAGGCACAGAAATGATAATTAAACTGAGGAAGCTGATAAGATCACCAAGACAGGACTGAGAGTGAAGAGGGATTAGAACAGGGTTTATAATCTGATATTACTTACATTGATAGATAGCAGTACTGAAGGCTTCTTCAAGCCTTGGAGTATGGTATGGCCCAGCAAGATTAGGCAGAGAAGAGGGAGGAAAATCAGAAGAGTAGAAGCCAGAAAAGACAATGCATCACATTGTCAAATGCTACAGAGAGGTCAAAGAGGATTAGGACAGAAAAAACAGCATTTAGTGATAAGGAGGTTATTACTGACCTTGGACAGAGTGGTTTCCATTAGGGAGGTGAGAATGAAAACCAGATTGCAAGAGGTTCAATAGTGAGTGTGGGTTTGAGTAAGGCAAGGCAAATAAAGGTGGACTACTTTTTCTCTAGCAGTTTGGTAGTGGAGGAGTACAAGAAGGAGAGGATAGGGAACCAAGATGGCAGAGTAAAAGCAGCAACTTGATTGAGCTCTCCCCCAAACCCCTCCAAATACCTATAAAAATGGCTCTAAACAAATTCTAAGGCAGCAGAACCCACGAAAAGACAGAGTGAAACAAATTTCCAGCCCAAGACAACCTGGATGATTGATCAGAAAGGTATACTGCGCCAGGCTGGGAGTTGAGCGCAGGGCAGTGTGAGTGCTCAGGCTGCAGTGAACCTGGAGCAGGCCTCAGAGGACTGAATCTCGGGCAGCTGTGGTGGTTTCCAGACTCCTCAATCCACAAATGCCAAAGACAATTTAGAAGGTCAGTGGGAAAAGTCTGTTTCTTCAGTGCTGAGAAAGGAAGGCAGGATCTCAGCTCCAGTTCCCCAAGAATATGGGACTGGGGTGGGCAGCTGCTTCTGGCCCATAGACAGGGGGAATCGAGTGGCTGATCAGAGGGGGATTGCAGGAATCTCTCTGCTGGTGCTCAGGCAGGAATCTCTTGCTTTGCCCGTGCTTGGATCTGGGTCACAGTCCCAGACAGGGGTCCTGGGGTGAGGAGGAGCACTGGCACAGTGGAGCTTGTAGTGGCTGTGGACAGGAAACTTTCCTCACAGTTGCAGGACAGAAAGGAGTGCTTGTGGTCACTAACAGACCACAGCACAGGCCAGGAAAGGAGTAAACACCTTGCCCCTTATCATACCACCTTGCAAGAACTGAAAATTTATGGGTCCCTACAAGTATCTCTGAAAACAGCTATATAAACCCCTGAAGCTTGGGACAGTACATTCTCCACATTGGAAGCAGACTCTTACCTTAACAAAGAGTTTAAAACTCAAGTAACTGGCCGGGATCATGAGCAAGCAGCACAAAAAGAGTCAGCCTATATTATCTTACTTTGGTGACAAAGAAGATCAAAACATACAACCAAAAGAAGACAACAAAGTCAGAGCTCCTACATCCAAAGCCTCCAAGAAAAATATGAATCAGTCCCAGCCCATGGAAGAGCTCAAAAAGGATTTTAAAAATCAAGTAAGAGAGGTAGAGGAAAAACTGGGAAGAGAAATGAGAGGGATGCAAGAAAATCATGAAAAACAAGTCAATAGCTTGCCAAAGGAGACCTAAAAAAATTCTGAAGAAAATAACACCTTAAAAAATAGCCTAACCTAAATGGCAAAAGAGGTCCAAAAAGCCAATGAGGAGAAGAATGCCCTAAAAAGCAAAATTGGCCAAATGGAAAAGGAAGTCCAAAAGATTACTGAAGAAAATACTTCCTTAAAAATTAGAATAGAGCAATTGGAAGCTAGTGACTTTATGAGAAATCAAGACACTGTAAAACAAATCCAAAAGAATGAAAAATAGAAAGAATGTAAATATCTCATTGGAAAAACAACTGACCTGGAAAATAGATCCAGGAGAGAGAATTTAAAAATTATTGGACTATCTGAAAGCCATGATCAAAAAAAGAGCCTAGACATCATCTTTCAAGAAATTATCAAGGAAAACTGCCCTGATATAGTAGAACCAGAGGTCAAAATAGAAATTGAAAGAATCCACTGATCTCCTCCTGAAAGAGATCCCCAAAGGAAAACTCCTAGGAATATTGTAGCCAAATTCCAGAGTTCCCAGGTCAAGGAGAAAATATTACAAGCTGCCAGAAAGAAACAATTCAAGTACTGTGGAAACACAATCAGGATAACACAAGATTTAGCAGCTTCTACATTAAAGGACCACAGGGCATGGAATATAATATTCCAGAGGGCAAAGGAGATAGGATTACAACCAAGAATCACCTACCCAGTAAAACTGAGTATAATCCTTCAGGGGAAAAAATGGTCATTCAGTGAAATAGAGGACTTTCAAGCATTCTTGATGAAAAGACCAGAGCTGAATAGAAAATTTGACTTTCAAATACAAGACTTAAGTGGAACATGAAGAGGTAAACAGGAAAGAAAAATCACAAGAGACTTATTAAGGTTGAACTGTTTACATTCCTGCATGGAAAGATGATATTTATAACTCATGAGACCTTTGTCAGTATTAGGGTAGTTGGAGGAAAAAAATTATATGTATGTATAGGTAGGTAGACAGAGGGCACAGGGTGAGTTGAAGATTAAGGGGTCATATCCGGAGAATAAAATTAAGGGATGAGAGAGGATGATACTAGGAGAAGAAGAAAGGGAGAGGTAGAATGGGGTAAATTATCTCACAAAAAAAAAACAGAAAAGAAAATGCTCTTATAGTACAGGGGAAATGGGGGAAGGTGAGAGGGAATGAGTGAATCTTATTCTCATAGGATTTGGCTTAAGGAGGGAATAACATACACACTCAATTGGGTAAGGAAATCTGTCTTACCCTACGCGAAAATAGGGGGAGAAGGGGACAAGAAAGCAGGGGGATGATAGAGAGGAAGGCAGATTGGGAAAGGGGGTAATCAGAAGCAAATACTTCTGAGGAGGGACAGGGTCAAAAGAAAGAACAGAATAAATGGGTCGGCAGGATAGGATTAAGGGAAATAGTTAGTTTGTCACAACATGTCTACATAGAAGTGTTTTGCATAACTTCACATGTATAACCTATATTGAGTTGCTTGCCTTTTCAGTGAGGGTAGGTGGGGAAGGAGGAAGGGAGAAGATTTGAAACCTAAAGTTTTAAAAACATGTTTAAAAAAAATGTTTCCACATACTACTGGGAAATAAGAAATACAGGAAATGGGGTACAGAAGTCTGTCCTGCCCTACAGGAAAATAGAAGGGGAAGGGGATTAGAGAAGGGGGGAAGAGATAGAAGAGAGGACAGACTAGGGGAAGGGATATTCAGAATGCATGCCATCTTGGGGTGGGGGGAGGGGTGAGATGGGGTGAAAATTTGGAACTCAAAATCTTGTGGAAGCAAATATTGAAAACTGAAAATAAATAAATTTATACATTTAAAAAGAAAGAAAAGAGGACAGGAGCTTGAGGAGGTGGCAAATGAAGGGAAGCCGGATGC